CTTTTTGAGTTTATTTTTTTGTCAGCCCTTGGATTATAGTTCTGTATAAAAACCCAGTTGTGTCCACATCTCAATGATCATGCTTTGAGAAATGCAAACAACCTTGAGCTGAACTTTATGCAATTCTTCAATGTTATTAGAAGCAAAACAATCCCTCATCATGATGTTTTCACCACAATGATTGACAGTATATCTATGTAAAATGATGTTATATTCGGTACATATCCAGCTGTAAATTTAGTTTATAACACTAGTTATCTATATATTATATTCATAGGACAAATCTATTAGTAAAATTCTGTCTATAATGGTATTCATCTCTATATCTATTCAGTAGAAACCCATGTCCTGTTTTTATGGAACCATTATTTATCCTGCACTTCTGGTTAGACCTAAACTGCATTTCATTGCTTTGTACCTGTACCTGTGTAATGACAATGACACAGTTGAATCTAATCTAATCTAGTCTTAAGTTTGTAGGCCTAACTTTAATCTCCCCCAAATATATTTTTATCATGAAGCCAAGCTACTTAGTCTTTGTCTCCTAAGAAGATAAAACCTTTTCTCAACAAGACATATGACTTGTTGTTGAGTGCGACTGCAAAATACAGAAAAGCAAGAGGGTGATAATTTTAAGAATGTAAATTTTTGCTCGCTTAATTGATGTTAAACATGTTCCATTGTGAATAGAGACATTCATTTTCCAGCAGTTTCTATCTCACAGTAGCTTGAGCGTCTGAGAATTCAGGATATAACTTCCTTAGAGATGAAAAAGAAGTGAAAAAAACAAAAGAAAACAATTTAGTTGTTGTAGTGACAGCATTTATTTTGGCTTAAAAAATAACTGTTCAAGACTTGAAATATGTTGTTTACCTGCAAGCACAGTTGAAGGGGAGATGTTCCTCACCACTTCAGTGGACTGGCCTCTACCCACCTGATTAGGTAAGTAAACATCAGTCGGGATTTCTCATTGATTATTGGCTAAACCTAAACCTAAACATCATTTACTAAACCTCTCCTATAAATTTCATAAAAGTAATGGTAAAATATGCATTATCATACTTAAACTGCTTTAGATATGCACTAAAATGTGCCTAAATTCAATGGGTATTTTGCGCATTAATCAGCTGTTTATTACGCTCTTGGACATGATCTCCCCTCCGCTCTGGAGCAGCAGGACGCTGCCTGTCAGACTCTATGAGAATCCCTGTTGAGGTTTGAGCCTCAGTCTATTGAAGTGAGCATCAAGAAAGTAGAGCCCTGATTGGATAACACGCCAAAATACGTCACTTCCAGTGAGGCTCAACCTCGAGGGTCTGTGGAGCAGGGGCAGGTCGTAAAGCTGACTGCTTGATGCTGATTGGGAAACATACGTAAGGATTTCTGACAGACAGCAGTGACCAGACAGCAAGAGGGTTTTCCTCTTGTGTGGAGAGGGCAGAGTGATCTTTCAGTCAGAACAGTCATCGTGAGCTGAACTCTTACCTTGGTTTCTGGAGTTTATTACTTCAGCACGCTCTACAGCAGCCATTTTCACCAGTTTTAATTTAATGTGTTTTAACAAATTTTAATGCAATACGTGATGTTTGGATTTAACTAACACCATGGAGCTCCCCCTCTTTCATAGAAGCAGCAGCTTTCTTTTGTGTTTTTTTTTTTTATAAATAGAGTATTATTTTCAATGATTAATTAAAATTTTAACATAATAAATGCAGTTTTTAACAATCTTAAAGTAAGGACATATGTCATGTTAATTTATATTAGTTGCCCCTTTATTAAAACACATAGTAATGTTTTTTTCCTACTAAATGTTATCTCATAACTAAATGCATTGCATTTCAACTCCAGGTTTTTTCTTGCTACAATAAAATGCCTTATTACGATTCAGTTAACCAAACAAGTTTGTTTAATTTTAATGTTATTTATTCAGCAGATAATAGTACAAACATCCAACAGTGCCGTAAGGTGTCACTAATATGGATTTTGTATTGTTTTTTTTTGTTTGTTTGTTTTTTAACATGTGCATCAGTCATAAATTGAATCCATTGTTGTTATTATTATTGCTTGAGCTTTAAGTTTTAAAAAATACTCTCTCATCGACAACTTATTGATAATTTGCTTGGTTGTCACAATTTTTCATTTTTTATAAATTTCAGAATAATGCATACGCTTGAGCCATCCCATTTTAAATGTTCAAAGTTTGCAACAGGATTTTTCATGAGTGTAGCGAGGAGACATTTAGTTATTCTTACCTCCTTATTTGTATCTCCCCTTAATACACAAACTGTTAGATTGACCCAGTGACACATTACTCTGATCAACATGGACACTTCATTCTTACCTTCAAAAGTTGTTTGCCGCTGCTGCTGGGGTGGAACTGTAAGTTCACCTGTCTGCAAAGACAGCATTGATTAGTCCGGAGGTGTTCTCATAGCACTTTTCTCACATATATAAGCAAGTAAAGTTAAAATAAGGCTTATCTCCCTAATTTCAGTGTTATTTTGACAAACTTAAGCATAACAAGCGGTTGTGCTGAAAAGCGCTGGACAAAACCCAGGGGAGGGAGCCCAGATGTCGGTCAAAGAGCTCATAGAATATAAGAATATAAGCGTTAAATATACTTGTAACAACACAGATTTGAGTGTAGCAGGGACACATTTCAGCAGCCCGCTACACTGAAAAATTGCTGTGCTGGCGAGATCCCTGATGTCTAGAAACTATGTATAAAGTATCTGGTTAAGAAAAAGTAACGTTAACATTGTCCAGAGTAATATCTTTTGTAGAAGGGCCTCTACAAACTATCTGGCAATCAGAATATTGTAAAGTGAAAATATTTTGAAAAGAAAGGTTCTGAAAGATCTTTTTTTTATATATATAAAATCTTCATTTCACATTGTTTGATTCAATATCTGGTAAAATAGAATGTTACATAGGTGATTTATTCTCATAAGGAATATAAATGCAGGACTATTTGACAAAAAAACCCAACAGAATCAAGCTCTATACAACAGGCCTGATTTCGGATGTTCTCTATCATCCTCTCACTTTTTTAGTTCTTTTTAAAAGATATACAGTAACAAAGTGTACAGTCCGGTATGCCCACATCTGGCTCTATGAACTAAACACACTTGACTTTTTTTTTTTTTTTGTATTAAGAAGAACATCCTATAGCAAAAAGGGAAAAAAAACTCAATTATCTCTGCACATCAGTGTCTGATGTGCATCTTTGTGAGTGTGACTAGGTGAACTGTAGCTCTAGTGTTCAGCAATTTTAACATAATCACAGTTTTTTCAACCTGTGATCTTGCAATGTACACATTTTTTTTTTGGCACAGGGTGTGTCTAACTGCGGTTCTATGTTTCAGGTATTGTTTGAGTTCCTTGTACTTCTTCCATAAGATTATTGCTCAAACCAATAAACAGCGTCAAACAAATCCTTGTCATGCTGCCATAAAGAAGCTACCTATCCTGAACCCAAAGCAGAGGTTGACTGGTCACATTAAAAGAAATTTAGGAACCTTCAGTGGCACTTAATGAAGGATTTAACTGAAAACCGTATATATATATATGTATATATATATATATATATATATATATATATATAGGACTGGATAAAGGACCGATTGTTTGTGTGTAAGAGAATATTGAAAATAAATGAAAACATGTCCAATTTTTTATTTAAAGAAGCAATCAAATAATTCACTAAAAGCTCACACAACATTATTTGTGAAAATGATGAGGATGTGTTTTTTTTTGTCCCTGAACTGTATAATTACTGTATTAAAACAAGTGATAAATTCACTTCAGATGTTTGTGTTAGGTATGCTGTGACATGTTTGCAAAGCTTTGTTCCGTTTGTTCTGGATGCCACGCAGTGATTTCACTTTTCTTGGACCACGTCACTGAACAAAAATGTTTTTTTTCCATTTAACTTTATTAAACTAGAGACAGTACAACTGGATGGAATTATTAGGAAGTCATTACTTATTATATGAGAGTCATCAAAATGTGAATACTTGTGCAGTGCAAGAGAGCAAAGTCCAAATTGGATTATTAGCCGATATTCAAGAGGGAAAAATAATTAAAGTAATTTGATTATGTATTTATGCAACTCTGAATGAGAATGCCAGTTTCTCAGAGGGTTTGAATGAAAAGATGTGGAATAACAATAAGGAAATGACAAGCAGCTGTGTCATTACCTCTCTATCATCGACGTCACGAAGATACAGCCTGCTGTCAAGTTGGTCTTTTTTTCAATCAAATCAACAAAAAGTTCAATGAAACATTTCATAAAAAGTACAACCTTACTTATTATTCAGGTTTCCAAATACCAATGGATAAACAGTCATTTCAAAAACAGTTTATGAAAATAAACATTTTGTTTATGTTGTATTTTTGTTTGAACAAAAAACGACATATCTTATTAAAGTCCAGTGTTTTTGTGTACCAAATTGCTCAATTCCAGTTTTAGATGAAGGACCAAATATATATTTTTTTATTAAAATAGTTTCCTATCAGACACAAACATCTTGATTTTTTTTTCTTTTGTTTTGATCAAATCTTGTTAGGGAACAAGTTTGAAGAATTGCTTGACACTGAATGTTCTTAATGGTTAGTGAAATTAAGTTGTGTTTGGTGTGATCAATCTCAAGCATGATCCCTGGCTCACAGTGCATCTGCAGCAGTTTTATTTTTGATTAAAGCAAATATATTCTCTCTGTAATACTTTCAGGTTGAGTGCAATTGCTGTGGCATTGTTTTGAGTCATCGTTTTATGAGATTTTCATACTCTTTCATGCACAGTTGTCCTGTACTTGTGCCAATTTTAGTAACTCAAACATAAGTACATCACCTTTATTCTACACATAGACTGGCTCAAATCGTTTGAAAACAACAAAATAAAAATACAAAATAAGATGAAAAACAAAGAACTTTAATATTGTTGAGATGGGACATATAGCGGATATTTTAAGGAAAATTTAATAGTCATATTGTACGGAAGAGGATTAGGGCTGCTGAAAAAAAAAAAAAAATGTAACTTATTTTTAAATATTATTCCAGTTTAATATGGGGAAAAAAGTCAGAATTCTGACTTTAATCTCAGAATTCTGAATTTTTTCTCAAAATTGTGACTTTAATCTCAGAATACGGACTTTAATCTCAGAATTCAGTCTTTTTTCTCAGAATTTGGACTTTTTTTCTCCGAATTCTGACTTTAATCTCAGAATTCTGACTTTAA